ACGCTTTTTTTCACAATAATACTAGTATTTTTCGTTCATTATTGTTTTAAGTTAATTTTAAAAATTATTTTTAACTTTTTAGTTCGATGTGCTTTAAAAGCGTGTTTTTTAGTTTTTTAAAACTATATTTATTTTTAACTTTTTAGTTTCATGTTATGATAATAGTTAACATCAATATCATGGTTGTAGGGGGTAACGGGAAATCAAGGTTCGATCCGGAGAGGGAGTCTAAGAAACGGCTACCACATCCAAGGAAAGCAGCAGGCACGCAACGTGGTGGTAGTGGCGAAAAATGACGATACGGGAATCATCCCTCGTAATCGGAATGAATACTTTATATCTCTTAATTAAAATAAATCGTGTTAATATATAAATTTTAATAGTAATTAGAATATATATACAAATAATGCAACTTAAGTACGTAAACGTATCATGCACTAGGTATAACCGTATTTTGTAGGCGGGCGGGTCGGACTAACGTTATACCTGAGGTATAAACGGTGGTAGGAATATATAAATATATATACGTAAGGCGCATTAGACGCGGGCGGTATTGGTCAGTCAAAATAAAAATTTGTTTATATATTTATATAATATTGATGACAAGCACGCGTGTACGGGTACGATAACTAAAAATAAATTTTTATAGGAATAGTGTGCCAACGTGTGGTGAGCGAGGCGTGGGGAGGGGTGAATTCGTTATGACAGTCTAGTCTAGACGACGGAATATGCGATAACGCGTGGCGTTTGGAGAGTTACAAACATACATACATACATACATACATACATACAAGTGAAACTAATATAAGCGTGTTAAAAATAGGTATAACTGTCGTAAACCCATAATTATTTTATAAATATTAGTTTTAAGGAATTTATTCTAACAATAGATAGTATTAATAGTGATACAGTTGACCGTTGTACGGTGAACACGTTATTATCTTACGTTTAATTTGATTTTTAAATATATCCTACTTTTTTCTGGCTTTTGGATGTAAATACTCTTATGTGTGTTCCTACCGTACCGTAATCCCATTTTACTGTGATTTTTTTATTATTATATATATCTAAAAAATGCAGTTTGATTTTATTTTATTATGATAAAATATTAATGTAAAACTGTATTTGTTATAATAATTCGCCTTTTTTATTAAATCAAGTGTTCATACTAATACTGATTTAACTATTGTTTCTTACAGGTGTATGAATAGTTTGACTAAAAATAATAATTTTATATACTTTAACATTTACTTAAAATACTTTTATTATATTTAAAAATAGAGAAGCAAGAATACATTATGTTAGTAGTTGATCTTACATTAGTATTACATTAGTGCATGTATTTTAATGTAGACATAAAATTGTCAATAGTTATTCAAAATTGAACACTGAACAATAAGAATAAAAATGAAAGTGAGTAATACACATTATCCGAGATTCTCAATTGAAATCATAAAAATTATATTATTATATTCTAGAATTGGCAATTGATATTTCTAATGTTGATAATACCCTGTGTAATATTTAACGAAGGTAAATTCTGTTTCACATTATTTATAAAATTTTTGTAAGTATATAATTTATACGTTAGACTATACAATTTTGATTTCCTATAGTTTGAAATTTTTATGTAAAATTTAGAAAGTTGCTTTATAATTTAAAATTATGAATATTTAAGAACAAATTTTGAAATAAATTGATAAAATTATTAATGACGTCAATCATTATTCATTTTAATTTATTATATAACGTATATTTGTTTAATAATTTATTTAATTTTACTATAATGTATTTTAATGATACTTTTTGTTTAAATTCTTTATTTACTGACGTATTACATCAAGACCTTTAACTTTTATATACTTTTGCCATAATAGTAATAACTACTTAATAATTTTTATTTCTCCTTAAAAATTAAAATACTAAATTATTAAATATCAATTTCATACTATATTTAATTTCTATAATAGATATTTAACCATGTATTATACCTATAAATCATGGAACATTATTATAATGTTTTTCTATACGAATTTTTAAATTTTAAACCGCCCTCGTATAAAGAGTATACAAAAAAAGTGACACGATCCCTCAGCACTTCTTGATACACGGAGCCCCGCGATCCGTGCCATCTTTATCAGCCTTCGCCAATTATGTGTACATGGTAATTTGGCTGACAAACACCGCGTGCGATACGCCACGGTACAAAGTCCGTGAAAGTACGGTGAAGAAGTCATCTTCGTGACACCGCACGGTTCAGATCGTCGACATATTCTCGCTTTATTATACGACATTGTCGCTGATTTTTTTTGCCGAGTATTGAGGAATATTTCCCGATAGTGAGGAAGGTTCTGGCCAATCACGCATTTGCTTACAATGTTATAAAAATAATAATAATGTACAGTAGAAAAAAAAAAAGGAAATCTACAAATACAAAACGCCGATCTTCAAAATCATTTCTTATTGATCAATCAGGGTTTAAACAGATAGACTTGGTCCTGTCAAAAATCCTGTTCAAATCAAACAAGACCAAAATTAATACCTATATTAATATATATAATAGGAAAGATAATTATCAATAATATCTGTTCAACACATTCAATTACAACAATTTTGGCATGCTCTGTTGCAGCCAGTTAAAATTATAGTAAATTTTTATTGAATTCAATAGAAAATTTTAAAACTACGCAGTTTATCATTAAAATGGCTAATCATAACGACAAAAAAGTAACTTTTAGCAGAAATTCTATTACTAAATTTAAAAAATAAAATTCACAAGATCGTAGGTGATTTCAAAATATTAGATGCAATGGATACTGTATCTAATGTGGTTAAAGTTTTATTTAGTAAACATCCATCTTATAGTTTAAAAACAGATTGCTCTAATAGTTTGTGTGAAAATGTTTGGTTGAAATCAACATTTACGGTTATACCACCAAACGTTTTTGATGAAAAAATAGATTTAATTGCCGAAATAAACAACTTTTTTTCAGAGTATTGGAATTTGTAATGTTTGTAAAAATTCGTTTAAAGGACCTTTAAACCATGAACAGCCATGGTACTCCAATAATGGTAGGCAAGAAAATTGACTGAAATGCTTGAAGTTCGTAAATACATGAAGTTTTAGCAGATCCCAAGATTATAAATCGGTATTTCCATATTGGTTGTAGCAGGGCTTTGTATAGGATTATTTTACTTTTTAAAAAAATTTCTATTTCATTAGAGGTCTTAGATGGTGAATACGAGAATTAAGTTTTTTCCTTGTCTCTTTAGTGTGTGGGGCCCAAGTGAAATGTCTGCCAAATATCAGGCTTAAGTATTTGACATGATTAGAGTGAGATCTTGATAAATCATTTAGTGTAATTACTGAAATTTTCTCGTCGTAGTGTGTATAGATTTATCTGGGTTTAATTAAATTGCCACTTGGTGTGAAAAAACGACTTGATCAAATATCAAGTCGTTTTTTCACAGAATAATTTTTCTATATCAATTACACACGTTTTTATTTTTTGGATAAGAGAGTGATTTAAACAAAACATTAAAAAAAAATACTATAGATTTGAACCAATCTAATATAAAAATGTTCGACGAAAGGTAGGGCTGTGTCATCGGCATAAGTTCCTACCGGAACTCCAAGAAATATATAAAACTGGTCGAAGTAAATCTTACCCTAGAAACTCTGTTTTTATATGACTTCAGTAATAGGTGGTTTAAACCTCTAAAGAAGGTTATAAGTTTAAATAGTAATCCGTAATGTCAGACAGTATTGAACGCTTGAGCTAAATCCAGGATGATACCTGTTTCTAATGTAGAATCAATTGTGTCAGCACTCTATGTAATTGATATGTGGTGACATGTTTTTTTCTGAAGCCAAACTGGGAACTTTTGGATGATTTTTTGAGATGCAGCTAATAAATTGAGTTTACATAGTACTTTTTTCAAAAGTTATTCTTAGAATAGGCAATAAAATAATAAGTCTGTAATATGTAGTCTTTCCTGGAGGTTTACCTGACTTCAATACAGTAATGATAATTGATGATATTTTTAATATTTAAAGTGATTTAAACAAATCATTAAAAAAAAAAATTCTATGCATTTGAACCACTCAAAGAAATAAATGTTAAGTTAGAAAACGGTTTTTTATTGTTCTCATTGTTTATATCAATTGAACTGTATCTTTTTATTGTATCATTTTAACTAACTTTTTTAACACTCTGTAAATTACATTCTTTTTCTATGCGTATTTATTGTCCTGAGAATTATTCTGGTTAGCATCTTAATGTAGTATGATGTTACTTTTTTTTTTGTGAAATGATTATACGCCAATTATATGCGCAAACTCTAGTATCATTTACATTATATTTTGTGAAACACATCACACACATTGTAATATACAATAATAAATTTGTAAATGTTGTTATATAGTTATATTTAATTTAAAAATTTTTCTTTTGACCAATATATTTAGATAAATATATTGGTTAAAAAGATAACCTTTTAACAATTAAGTACAAATTTATTTAAAAGCTTATTTAACTTATTTTTTCAAATATATTATTATATTTTTAAAAGCAATATATCGACAGAATATAATTATAATTTGTCACAAAATGTGAGCATTACTGAAGTATGCTCAAAAATAAAAAACCCAGCACAGGGGGGTCGCGGCACAGTGGTGACATGGGATAGTTGGATCAAGTATAATGATATCTGACAGTGATTAAAATCACTATCAAAAATAAACGCTTCGATGCAAATCTTTAGATAGTGTTTAATTTTTAAAAAAAAGGTGTTTTATTCCAAAAGCTACTTGATCTGCTGGTTCCTTATTAATATCTCGATTAAGATAAAGTATGTCGAATGAAAAAAGGTTTATTAAAAAATATTATTTCTCATAAAAAAATTGTGTGGATCCATAAACTTTTCAATAAGTTATAGCATTATAAAGTTAAATATAATATAAATAATAAAATCGA